AGTGGACAGTTATGTAACCACCACCTTTTCCATCCAACAGGCTTCCTCCTTCTCCCCATACACACACAGTCTATCATTATTCTTTGGCGGCCCACCCAGCCAAGCAAAGGTACGTGCTTGTTTTTTTGTCTGTGTCTGGAGCCCGAGACACATATGTCAGGACAGGAACACACAGACGCCCTCTGACTGTGAAAACAAGCGGCTGTGTCAAAAATCCTGAGGTATTCCTGCTCTGGGGCCAATCATTTTGGACTGGACTCTAATCTCCGGATTCCCAACAGCCTGATTCATGAGCTCTTCATAGAGTAACAAGGTTTCAGGTCTTATGTTGTATTATGTCATTACAAAAAATAAAAAGGTGACAGACATGTAATGAGTTAGAAGATGATGCCAATAAAAACATGATTCTAAAAATAGAACAGAATCCAAGAAACATTATCATCTTTTATTCTATATGGACATATAGGGTGATTGGGGTGATTGTCTGCCATGATCTATATTAAATACAAGAAATGTGTAAGTCTACATTAATGACACCACAGGATAAACAAATAAATAAATGCATGTGGGCAAAAGATCAACAAATGGTAGTAGATTTTCTCTTAGGCAATTATAGCTGAGACAAATGTTTTGCTGTAACAACTCTAAATGGCAAATCTTCAAAGAACATAAAATCCTACAAACTGATATTACAATGGTGTATAAGTTAGTCCACTATGACATCATGTATTATAATGAATGAGATCTGTGACAGGAGGCAGCAAAGGGCCACACAACTCCTTGTTCGTCAAGCTACTGTCTGTCAAACTGTTCCCTTGGTATTAATTAAAGGTGTGGTGCAGTCAGTGACAGGCAAAGCTAAGGACAAAGATTGAGTGAGTGAGACCTCACTGTGTGACAACTGCTGACAAGCCTTAAGTCCTCCAGTGCCCTCCTCATCCTCGCCTTCATCATCAAGCTGTCAGCGAGATCTACTGGTCCCAGCGCTTGTTTATGGAAGTATTAATAATGCAATATTAGAACACAAAAATAAAGGACGATGTCATTGTGGAACAGGTGTGGTTAAACACTGGTCACATGCAAAGCTCTGAGAGATTAACAAGCTCCTGTTGTGTTAAACATGAAAAATGGTTTCTTTTAATCTAGCTATAAGTGTACAGTGTCAGGCTATTGAGGCTTAAAGGTGCACTATGTAACTTTCTTGGCCCCCCACCTGCTTGTTTCTATGCAGATATTATAGCACTGCCTGGAATATTCTACAATATGCATTATATCTAACTCCATGGGGACAAGTAGCTGACACCACCAGGGCAAGTTACAGGTCAGATCTGTGATCAAGGTATTTTTTAGCAATATAAAGACATGTAATTAATGTATGTAATTATGATAGGCAACAGTTGAACATTTCAGGTGATGCAACAGTATCTCCATGGAGACAATTAAGGTAGGTGGCGAACCCTGAACCAAGGGTTACACAGTGCACCTTTAAATATGCAGTTCACCCTGCTATATAAAATTACTTGCCCCCAAAAGGGAATCTGTTTCTCAGCTGCATCCGTCAGTAAAGTGTTTGACTCTACCTTTTTCCAAAACCCGCCGGAGTTTTTGTTTTAAATATATCTTATAAACAAGAACAGCCTGTGCCTACATTTAGACATTGATATCAAATACAGCCCGTAATTGCCATGCACTGGACATCACCACAAAAATATGTAATTATTATCTCATTACAGGTGCTGACATAATACAGTTTGGCTTCAGGTGCAGTTTCCGAGCATGCTGTTTTTTTGCTGTTAGGCTATATTTATCAGAACAGTCCCACCTTCCAGGGCATAAAAATCAGACATCTCAATCTCACATTTGCTCCCATTGAGAGAAACATTTCCAGACAGACCTTTGGCCTCTGGCTCCTACACTTCAAAATTCAGAAGAGACAAAAGCATTCAAACCATACAAACAGAAACACAAGTTGTATTGTGTAATAGCCTTCCCATGTCCAATTATTATGGAGATGCTCAAAAACATTTACCACTTAAGTTTCTGACCACTACAGATTGTTAACAGGTCCGGTCTGGAATGGGAAGAACTTGTACAGTCATAGGTCAGTTTGACTGTGTTCTTGTCATAATAAATTACATGCTAAAGGGTCACAGTAAAAATTAAAGGGAAAAACAGACCTACTAAGCCCACAACAACCAATCAATGAGCATCATGTAGTTAGTTACTTTGTCTGCCAGTCCTTAGTCCTTTTTGCAATTTCATACTGCATTTGGAGGCTCTATGTTACCTTAAACAGTACCGTATCCTACCTACAGTCTCCTTGGAGTTTTATCCTCCCACCACTAACAGATGAATAAAAACGGATAGATTATGCCAGGACATCATGAAAAAACAGGTAAAGAACTCCAAGTACTTGAAAAGTGCACTTTGCAACTTTTTACTTTAAGAGTAATAATTAAAAGCCTTAATTTATTATTGACTGTAACTTTAAAAAGTGCATAAACACATTTAAGCTCTGGTGTCTTCTTCAGGGAGCACACAGAGGCACAGATGTCCCATTCTTTCCATCTTTCTGGCAGCATCTACCTGTTTCGTAAGCATAAAGAATCACCCCCGCATTTCCAATGAGCAGCTGTTTTACGCACAAAGATCCTTAAAGCACTACCTGCTTCTTAACTTTGCACAAATAGAAGAATGTTGTGTCTTGTAACAAAACACACAGAACACACAAAACACTGTCTTCTCACACTGTCTTACAATCTATCTTACAATCACCAAAGGCTTATTCTGGTGCCTAATATCTGCCAACTATTACTACCCTTGTAAATACAATACAGTTTCTATAAAGGGCTGTTTACATTCTGGACATCCCATCTCCAGTGCAGTGACACACCACACTCGGAGTCATCACAGACATGTTGACAGACTGTAGCCTAATATAGCAGAAGCCAAACAAAAGCGCGGGGTCCTGTGTGCTTGGCTAGCCGGCCTTTAAATAGAGGACCTAGAATCATTCTGAAGCAGTGGTACTTCTGTGGTGATACCCCTGGGAGCATGAAGTCAGCAAAGGGACACCAAAACCCAAGAACACTGTCCTCTGACTGTCCAGTTTACAGTGACAGTGCAGCTTAAGTCAATGTCAGACAGTCAACTGAAGTTTGTAAACATGCGTATGAATGTATTGCAACTAGTACAAGGACAAAACTTCACGGAAACTCAATACAATGTATATGTACTAAGGACAAAAGCAAAATTGCATTATACTAGTTGTGTTTTAAAGTTGCACTATGTAACTTTTCTGGTACAAGCCCAGAAACTGGTTACATGGAGATATGCTAGGGAGATTGCTTTCCATGGAATGAACCACATGGCGTTAAACCACATGGGATTAAAATGGCTTATTATTTAAGTATAGGTGTTTTTTGTTTTTCTTTTACATTAAACCAATACCTTGAAAAATATGCATTCTACTAAGCATGCCAAGTCTCCACAATTGGACCTGTAAATTTGCTTTAACCTGCAAAGTTTAAGTGACTAATTAAAGTATTTTTCATTTTTCATTCCTGATTTAAAATTTTAGTAACTCAATATTTTTTCTTGTACCACAATGAAGGTAACTAGGTACCACAAATTAAAATTAATAATTTACATAAACTGATCTAAAAAGATTATACCTGAACAATATGACTCTAGAAACCTTTTCTTTTTTTCAAAGTGGAGAGGCCACAACGATAAAATCCTTCTTGAGTAAAGCTGCTGACAGGCCAACAGTAAAAGTCAGTGTTCGCTCAGAGATTCTCCCTGTGTGAATGTACCGTGTTTTTAAAGTTATGTAAAGACCTAAGTATTTCACACTGAGACCAAGATGTTTTGCCAAAGCACAACCAGAGCCCTTTATGCTCTCCTTGTACCGTACTTCACTGACTACAGCACAGCTACCGCTTTTTGGGGTTTTAGGGGTTTTAAAGATGCTATATTTATATATTTTGCTATCGTGCTATATATTTCAGGGATCAATATTTATCATATTTATCTGTTGCAGCTCATACCCTTTAATTATTTAAAAATGTTTTACTATGATTATTTTGCATTATTGTCAATGTGTCAGTGGCAAATTTTTTTTTAAAAATATTATCATTTAGTAGTAGCAGTATACCTCTGTAGTAATATATTGTGCTTCAAAATTTGATATCATGATACACCTACATAATAACACCAAACCTGTCGCTAGCCATTTACAAAACTATATGATCATTTACACAAAGATGTTTTGAAAGACTAGTAGAGCTCTCAATGAACTTTTAAACTGCTTTCTTCAAGGAGAGAATTCCCTTTTTATGACTTTGGTCCAATGCACAGTGTAATATACCAAGGTTAAAAACATGTAGAGACGCAGACAGGTTGTCCTTCACAGTCTACTGACAGTTCTGAAAGCAACCACTGACCAAAAGTACTATATATTATAACAAGCACATTTTTGCAGCTAACACAACTCTCAACTATTATATTGTTGTTTTAATGAGGCTGAACTTGTAAAACATTTGAAAAGGCAATAATATTACATAAGTGCACTAAAATGTACCATGGACTGTTTTCACTGTGCAGTAGGCAACAAAAGTTTTCATTATGAAGCTTGGTTATATTCTCAATCATTAAACAATACTAATTTTTAAGGTTTAATTTAAAAAGGGTGATACAGAATTAATTGCTTTCCCATTAACCTATTAATTGATCAGATTTAAGGTCAAAACTGTTCTGTTTAGCTGTTATTGTGGAATCTTTATATAAATACTTGAAGAATAAATCAAACATAAACCAAGAGAGAAGACTGAATAGATGTTTTTTGGCACATGTTTAGTCAGTGTAGTTTAGATAACTATTATTGATTTTCATATTAGTCAGAAATTATTCAATCGGCAAATATTCTGATTGATTGTTACAGGCCTAGTACTGTGTTTGTGTTACACATTTTAGATTTTGACCCTGTTGCTCTCTGTCACCTGTTGAGGACGGTCCCAAACAGTAGTCGAATGGTCCTCTGGATGTTCTCGGTGCAGAGCCAGCTCCACTGCTCTCTCATCAGCAGACACAAGATGTTCAGGGTCACCTCTGCCAACGCTGTCTCGGACACTGCATAAAGATACACACTGATCAAATACAGAGGTCATACAGGGATCAGGCTACTGTGCAATAAGGCTGTAATAGCACTGCCCCCATGTGGTCAACTGTACATGCTACAAGATTTTGAGTAGTGCCCCAAACATTCCATATTAATCTTATGGCTTTTGTGTTGACAGAGAAAATGACAAAGATTGAGCTGGTTTATGTTTGTTTATGTGAATAGCACTATAATTAGAGATGTATTAACAAGGAACTAGGATAAAACTAGCAAAGCGCCCTCTCGCTTGATTAAAATATAGTCATTCTAGAGTGCTCTAAAGTTTTGTAAACACAACTTATGTATTATTTGCAGTTGCAATGTTGATAAAGTAAAGGACAGTATTTGAAAGAGTAAACTAGCAATGGATGATAAATTAAGTGCTTGTTGTCCTACTATAGGGCTACTTTTATCCATATAGAAGCAGTAATAATACAAAAACATGTAATTTTATTAATGTTAATTTTCTGAACATTAAAGATCGTTGTTATGGGTATCCTGTAACTGTATTTATTTGAAGTTTATAAATAAGTCATTGTGTTTTCAGAGTTTACATGTAAAATATGCTTAGGCATAAATTAAGTATTTATTCACTCTGTAAAGCTGTTCTTAATCACTCATGGCGGTTGAATGTGAAAAGAAAGTGACGGAGTTAAGTCTCAGAGGAAGTTTGGCGACAGAGCGGGCGGTGAGTCATGTGGTTGGTCAGACACAGGAAATCAAGGCAGAAAAACCAGGATTAGTTACACAAGCATTAAGGGCTAAAAGTGGAGATTAAGAGTTAGCTTCACAGTTGGCTGCAATTAAACCTGTTTGATACATTCCATTAAACAGAAAAACCTGATGCTCTGATTTTACCCAGTTCTTCATTGGACTTGGATCTTGTTTCGCTGTTTGAAGAAAGTGTAATTTCTGTGGCTATGGGGCTGTCGGCTGTATATGAGTCTTGTCTTAAGGCTAGTTTCTCCCGATCATAAATAAAGGCTTCCAGATCTCCCAAGGTCATCCCATTGAAAACCTGTAATAAAACATAAAAGAGACAGACAGAATTTAAAGCAATATAATACATAGAGTAGAATTTGTATGTTAATAAAATAACTTGCATTGCCATTCTGGTCAACAGTGAAAAGAGGAGGTGGTCTGACATCTGAGCCATTCATAAAGGGGACATTTTTAGTGGCAAACTTCAGACGAGACCTGAGAATTTACACAGACATACACTTTTAATATTCAACTTACTGTCAAAAAAGACTTACAAACATTTATTATTAATTATTATTTAATTATTAAAAACAAGGACAGTGCACAGAAATTATTAATCTCAGACAGAAAAGATGCTCTGTGCCAGATTTAGGTACAAGCTACTTTCCATCTGCATTAGACCAACTTCATCAGTAACAGTGACTCCTTAAAATAAACACTATCCAATTCATCTTTAAACACTTAAACGATCAAAATTAATTTATTCTAATTTCCATAAATACAAGATTTAAAACTAAGCATAAACATGTGCTTAGTTTTAATATGCAAGAAGTTGTCACATTTTAAAAACAAATCTTTTCGTAGTAAAATGGACTTTTACTTGTTTTTCTTGTCAGTTGCCATTCTCAAACCGTCGGGCTCATCAGTATCGTCTGTGGGACTTTGCGGTTCAGAACGAGGGAAGGCAGTCTTCAGTGTGTCCACAATGGCATTCACCACAATCTATAAACATAAAGCCAATGGTTTACAAACAGTGGACTGATTAAAGGTCCTGTATTACATAAAACTGACTCATGTAAGCTTTTGGCCATGTTAGAATGATGTTACCTCATCACAAAATTCAAGTTGTGTTTTGTTTCATTCAAAGATGTTTGAGTAATCCTTTATTATTTGTCTGTTCACATCTCCAAAGTACATAATGCCCTGTTAGACATTGTGATGTCAGGAAGTGCTAATTTTCCTTTAGTTCAATAGAGATTGGCAATTCTGGGGCTGAAATCATCCAAATTCTAGTAAAGGTGTATGGAGTTTAAAACACAGTGGAGCACTTCCTGTATTACCACATGACATCACAAGGTGGAACATAGTTTTTAATGTTTCTGAATAACTCAACCTAAATATCCAGGATATGTCTGTGAAGTGTGTGAATGAAACAAAACAAAACTGCAGGTATGTTTGTGATGAGGAAACAAACCTTATGACATAATATGGGCCCTTTAAGTAAGACAAAATATCATAGAGATAAAATAAAAAAAAACCTTGTCTATACGAGATGTTATAAAAGGTTTCTTCACAAAGGCAATCCGGGCATCTGTGTTTAGAGCCAGAAACTCCTGCATTTCCTCACTGTTGGCTATTTCAGGAATGGCACAGAGTTGCTAGAGAAAATGCATTAAACACACATAAATACATTTAAGATTAAAAAATCACAACATGTGAAATCACTCAAAGGCACGAACTTTCAAAAATGTCTCCAGCAATCCTTTTCTGGCCTCTATCTTGTCGCTGTCCATGTTTCCAAAAGGCATGTCGGGGAATATCTTCTTTGGGCCCTTCACCCCTGAATAACAGTCAGTGTGTTATGATTATGATACATATGTTACATTATATATAGATGTGATGTTTTACACTAGAGCTGGGTGAGGTAAAAAATGCAACTGCAAATAACTCATACTGATCAATCTTGATTTTCATCTTTCAAAATTTAAACAAAAACATCTCTAAAATGTCCTATACTACACATAATTGACTGTTGTGAGATTTAAGCAATGCAATAATTGTTAGCTCTTCAAAAACATACCTGGAATTGTGTGTTGTTTCATTTGCACATGTTTGAGAAACCCTTAGTCTGTCTACATCTCTAAAGTTCAAAATGCTCTATTCCACCTAGTGATGTCATGTAGTGGCAGTTGTGAAATTAACAGCTACATTTTATATTTAGTTCAGAAGAGTGTGGCAATTCCAAGGCTGAAATTATCCAAATCATTCTAGTGAAGGTGTATGGAGTTTGAAAATACAAAGGAGCTCTTCCCGTATTACCGCATGACATCACGAGTGAATGAAGCAAACAAGTCCAGGTATTTGATGAGGGTTTTTCATGAGGATGCAATATTCTAACATAGATGAGAAAACAGCGTAACACGAGCCCTTTAAATATTAATTTCATGAACATAAACTAAAAAGAAATCAAATCATTGCCATTTAACATGAACAAAGCCTAATTTATTCCTCCAAAGTCCAAACTATGCTTCAAGCCACATACTTGCAAACCTCTCAATAAAAAAACACTCAAACATAATCGTTGACAACTGGAGATAACAGAATGTTGATCATGTTTAAAATATTAATTGTCCAGCCAGTTTAACACTCTCAACATTGTAATGACATATTCCTGTACCTTTGATGAGCTTTCTCAGGTCGGCCCTCTCCTCCAGTCTTGTTTGTAGGTTCAGAAACTCACTGTATCTCCTGTTCACCATGTGGTAGGCAATCTGTTGAACCGCTGTGGGACTGTCAGATGTAGCCTGTGCTTCTGCCTCTTCAGAGATTGGCTGCATACTCTCCTGGTTTTCACAACCCATCGCTGTCTCATACTAAAACATACAACAATTGTTACAAAAAGAGACCTGTGAGTACATTTGTTATTCTGAATGCACAATGTGCTAATAAAAAGTGTTAATTCTTCTTTTGTAAAATTCCAGAGGCTAAAAAAATATATATGTAGTTATTTATATATTTATAGTTATAATATATAGTTACTAATGTCCTTGTATTTTTTATTAATAAAAACGCATCAAATGTCTTTTCTGTTAAAAACGTCTAGTATTTTTTACTGAAAATATTGGTTTAAGCACAAATTGTTTAACAACACCCCCTGATTTTGTCACATTATTGTCTTCATGGAGAAGTTCAATGCAATACTTCCCACCAGAAAAGTTACACACTGCTCCATTAGATTCAAGATGTCATTTTAAGCTCTTTTTAAGTATACAATATGAACATTACTTTGATGGTGTAGAGAGTGTAGGGGTGTGATCCGGTGCCGCGATGCTCTTTGGCTGTGATTGTGCCAGTTATGCGCAGGTTCTGGATGATCACTGGTCCTTCAGGGCTGCTCAGGGGCTCAAAACTGAACGTGGCCAGGGGAGAGGTTATCTGGGATGGACTCACTACGGTCAACTCATTTGGGCTTGTCAATCCAGTCTGCTCCACTCCCAAAAGAAGCTCTTTGCTGGGGTTAAATGGCGGTACAAGCTCCTTATCCATAGCCTGAATGTTGCCAGTTGTGCCTTCTGTTGCTTTCAATATTAAACAACTATTTGTGTTTTCTACAGGTTGTGAATTCACCAAAACTTTAGGGCATAAACTGTCATTTGAAAAAACATCTTCTAAGTCAAGCCCATTGTTTTTAGCACCTTCTTTCTGCTTGTCGCCCATTCCCTCGTCTTGACCAATCATAACCAAGGAATCTAAGGAGCTCTGTTGATAGTCAGTTAATGGTGAGTCTAAATCAGAATCAGTTTCTTGGTAAAACGGATTAGATTTACTTCCACGCAGAAAATGCCTCAAAAAGGGTTGTGTGGGCTCATCGTCTTCTGTGTTTTGCACGCCATCCAAATCCTCTTTCAAAATATGTTGGGATCTCTGGTGTAGGCATCTCTACATTACTGGGCACTTGCTTATCAGTTACTGCTTCTGTATCTATACTTAGCTGTTCAGGTGTAGACTCAATAAGAGAAGGTTCAGATTCAATAGTGGGCAATGGAGGAGTTGGATTTTCTTCAATACCATCTACTTGCATGCTATTTTTTCCAAATAACGCAATCACTAAGAGGTTTAACCAGTCAGGGTCGGACAGTTTATCAATCAGTGGAAGCATCACGTTACAAGTGATGAGCTCCCCAACAACAAAGCGGCCACTGCGGGTTTCTAAGTGAGGAGATGGCACCAGAACATGTAACAGTAAATCCACTATTGCTCTCATGTAGTTTATCTCCAAGCCTTTACTGGTCATAGCCACGTGCGGAGGGGTGGTGCTGGAGTAGGCTCGCCACATCCTCTCGCCGTCCCATTTGACACTCCGCTGCTGTTGAGGCACTAGCTGTTTGGTTTTTAGGAAATCTTGCAAGTGGCATCCAAACAGATCCAGTATTCTCTGGGTCAATTCCTATAATGAAATACAAAAGTATAGAAGTCAGAGTTTAAAGGATCCATATTAAGATATTATCTGATCTATGTTATAATGTTGTTTCCTCATCAAAAACATACCTGAAGTTGTGTTCTGTTTCAATCGCACATGTTTAACGCACAAATCCTGCATATTTAGGGTGTGTTCTTCTCTCAAACAAAAAAATGCTCCCCTTGTGATGTCATGTTGTAATACAGGAGGTGCTCCGCTGTGTTTTTAAACTCCACACACTTTCACTAGAATTATTTGGATAATTTCAGCCTTGGAACAAAAGGTAAAATGTAGCTGGTAACATGAAAACCACTACTTCATGACATCACAATGTAGAAAAGAGCATTTTGAGCTTTGGGGATGTAGACACACTAATAATAAAGAATTATTAAAGCATTACTAAATAACTAACATGTGTGAATAACTAGACAATTCCAGTATGTTTTTGCTGAGGAAACATTCTAGATCACAAGAGTCAATTTTGAATAATATAGGACCTTTAAAAGTTTTCATTTTATTTTTAAATGTTGGTGTATCATCATCATCATAATCTAATCTAGAATACAGACTATGCAAACAAGATCAGAATCAGATGCTGCTGATTCCACTGTTCCACATCCACTGTTATTCCTAGTTTTGATTTGAAGGTTTACTGTTAAAAAGACAACAGATTTAAGCAAGAGCTACAACTTTAGAGATATAGTTTAGGCCGACACAATTTGCCGCTTTTCAAATTCAGCAGGAAAAAATGATTTATTATCCTAATTTATAATATAGCTATATAGCTCAGATATAAACATATGCCTCGTTGCAGTGTTGTTGTACCTTTCTATCCACTTGTCTAGCTCGTCTTTTCAGCTCCATGGCCATGTAGATCATAGCGTCATGTACATCAGATTCAAAGTGTTTCTCAGTGGACACAGTGGAGTACCAGGATGTCACAAAGTCTCGGATGATCTTTCTCACTGTCTTGTGAATTTCCTGATCCAGCTTCTCTTCGTCCTCCTTCGATGGAGAAATCTGATCAAAAAATAAAAATAAAATAATTCATCATAAATAAATCATGCACAAAACAAAACATTAATCTTGACATCCTGCATTATTCAATTGGTTAATTCTCTCGTCAAGACATTTTGCAAAGTAGTGCAAAAAAGGTTTATCAATGACCACTAATTTGCTAAACTTCTTAAGGACACTTACTACTGTCTAAATACTATCTAAATACTAATATGTGTGATATCAAGTCTATTCCTTAGTAACAAAACTGACTTTGAAAGAGTAATATTGTAACACTAACAGACATATATTGCAACACGTCTGATGTACATTTACCTGCTCCATTGTAATAAACCTCTCCAGGTGAAGGACAGTATTGGAGTCCAGTGCAGCCTGAGAGCCCAGCCAGCCCCCAAGCACCAAAAGGAGACTGGTAAAGACACACAGCAGCCAGATGTTTACCAGAAGATGGAATAGCACTAACCAGGCCACCAACACACATACTCCCAGCAAGCTCTTCTGCCCCAGCACCTCCGCCATGGCTCAGCTCCAGTGTGCACAGATCAGGGAAACCACACTGACATCTTTCACTGTAATAGAAGAAATACTGTAAGCAACAAATCATAAATCTAACCACGCCCAATTCTGGTTTCCCTTATTGCTACCTTATCAATGATAAAACATAAATAAGACCTGAATAATCTTGAGAAATGAACTACCATCCAAACCCCACACCGGATGATGAGTGCTGCCACATCCTTCGACAAACAAAAAGAGAAAGTAGGGCAGTGTATTTCTGAGCAAAAAGAAAACAGCTTGGCGCTTAGCCTGGATTGTGTTTCAAGATTACCGACATAACTGCGTAATAAAAGTGTAACATACTAAAAGACGAAACAAAGCTGAAGAAAACCATTGAAAGCCGTCACCGCTATCCAGCTGTTTTTCACCCCGCAGGACCTAACACCGCTAAGAAATACTGGCATGCTAAAATGGTTCAACCGATGGTGTGGAAATACAGACAAAAACAACACAATAAACACTGAAATATTAACCATCAGTATCAATCAGCGTAATATGTTCATCTATACGAAAGATTTGTATGATAAATTATTAGATGGAAACAGCCTGTTACAGAGGTGCATAGGTAAGCTAACACTAACATCTTTCATATTATTTTGTATTGATGGGTCATCTTTATAAAACAAGGAAAAGTTAAATTAAGTTCAAAGTTTATATATTAAGTTTCTCGTAAAATGTACTTCACTGCACATTTGGAAATAAATGAAAATGTAACCTTTATTTTTTATTGTATTATTATTATTTTTATATATATATATATATATTTTTTGTATTACGCTACCGCGTGCGGCAAAGGCGTACCAGAGACGGTTTGACAAGCTCTGTCTCTATAAATGACCCAACATTGAAATATCTTTCCATCTTTTTATGAAAAATCTGAAAATCGCCAACCTCATCTGTCCAAATCCAGCAGAACGTCTCGTGAGCCTCTTTCTTGTGACAGCCTTTCGCCTTTTCGGTCCAATTGTTTACTTCCGCTATGGTGACGTCAGTGTACAGCAAAAACGCTTTCTATTGGCTGAGTGAAAGTAAAATTCATTTTATGTAACAAACAGTACAATTTTAGTATATGAATAGTTTTTTGTAAAGGAGTTGCCTAAAATAAAACAGGCCATAAAGGTCATCATGCCTAGGAAATGGTTTGCCAGTCTGTAGACACAATGCTTATAAGCATATGTGGCTGGAACATTACCCATAATTATAACTGACCACTGACCCTTGTTATTAGTTCAGTGACTTGTTTTACAAGTTGAAAGTCAAAAGAACTTCTACCTTCAGCAGAATAGATGTGACAGAGATAAGAATCCAACATGAGCTACTCTGCTGGTAAGCCTTTCCAAGCTGTATAAACATAAAGAAAAAGGAAAATTGGGCCTACGTTACCATATTTTGCATGCTATAGCAAAAATAATGTATTCTTTAGAAGTGTCTAGGTAAAAACTGCTGGAAAAATGTATCTGTATCTTTGACACAAACACTTGCATTATACTTTTACTTATTATATTATTATACTTAAACTTCAAAACAGGCTTTTTGGTATTTACAAATTGCAATTTTTTGGAGAAATTAAATATTTGGTTAGTACAGTTGTGCAAATCACAAGTGCCTCTCTCTTTCTTTGTTTCACCATTTAGGTTTTTGTTGGGTGAGCTCAGTGAAGGGAGTTTTCTGTTAACACTATTCAAATAACAAAATTATATTGTTTCAAAAGTCTTATGTTGGTACAGTGGTATAGTAGTTGGCATTTCAGTCTTTTATTACACTTATTTGTGCTCTGTGAGTGCTTTGTTTACATAATGCACACAAATTGATTTCTGAACCTTTAGGATTATTTAACCTCTTAAATGACTTGCAAACCACAAAATCTCATGAGAGTTATCAGAAGGTCCTCGACCAGAAAATCCCTTGATTTTGCTGTTTAATAATCTATCTTTCTCTAAAAATCTGATAATAATTAGAATTTGAGTGTACATGCAACCGCAGATAATGAAGTTTTGAAGATATTCAATTTATTTATATTTTGTTTTTCATTTGTACATCTGAACTATGCAAAAGTGGATGGACTTGTACAATTGCTATGCATTTCTACCTTTTATATTGTACACTGTATACATCAAATGTACTGTATTTTCTGAAGTTTAGTTTAGTTTATTTATTTCATTATTATTATTATTATTATTATTATTATTATTATTAATTATTTATTACTATTTTTATATTATTTATTTATTTTTGCAATAAATAATGCTACTCAATTTTATTTAAAAATCAGTTTTTATACTTTTGACATCCAATTTACCATTGTATTCATTCACTCATTTACTTAGTATTGCCTTCCAGTAAAATGGCAAAGGAGAAACTCAAATTGTCAATCGGACAAAAGCCTCCCTGTTACATGTCTCGCAGCTCATCCAAGCTGCCTCCCCAACCCCGGCCAGACCGCCGGTGGACACCGCGCCACATCTGCCCGAAGGGAGGCGTCAACCACACTGAAACCACTCTGAAACCAACACACCCATCTACCCACAGCCTCTGCTTGCAAGTGAGGCCCATTGAACTGTACCATAGTTTATTTGTTTATGTATCAGGGTTAGGGTTGACCTACACAAAGAGGTAATATGTTTGTGCCAGATTATTGCAAGTGTATATTATTATTGCAGTGTATATTAATACAATCACTTCAGTCAGGAAGAGCAGCCACTCAAGTTGTGCACTATGTAGCCTTTTGGTTGGGGATCAATCACCTTGTTTCTATGGATATTTTGTTGCTCTGCTTTGAATGTTTCACATTATGATATTAAACAGCTCTACCTTACATTCATAAAATTATAGGTGTTTTTTATTGCTCAAAAATACCTAAAGACATTCTGAGAGGGTTGCCTGTCCACTGATCTGACCTGTAACCTGGTCTGGTTTGGGTTTCATGATGACAGAAAGGTTTAATACCACACTGTAGACAAAGCAATTACATCTCCAAGAAGAAAAGCAGGTGACGGACCCTCCACCAGAAAAGTTGCACAATGCACCTTTAATGGGTATTCAAATAGAAAAGTAAAGAAAGAAGAATTGAAATGTAAGCAGATGAGAGGGATGGGTGTGCTGGAGAGTGTAACCTCACTAATCTGATTTGTTCAGAGTGGGTGACTCTAAGCCTCTGTGGGAAAAAATCTGTGGGCAACCTGAGGAGTCCTTGTTTTAGTGACACCATTTTCACACATACAACTCTACAAGGGCTGTGGCCATACACGAATGAGACAACGTTTGATTTTACAATAAGGACTTTTGAAATTATTATTATTTTTATTAGTCATGCTTAGGTCTGATTCAAATAATGAGACCCTACCTTTGATACAGGTGAGTGACATGGATTTTGACTACTTTAAATAAAAAAATAAATAAATAATAGCTGTAGTGAAAATTGTGTTGGAGACATGAAGTTTTGTTTTTATATCTAATTCTGTAACTGAAATTATAATGATTTGTTGTACTGATTTCTTTTAGGCTTCGTTCTCTTCTAATAGTGTTAAAATCGACAATACCTGGACCAAACGAACCTTTTGGAGCTCTGCCCAGAAGATGGCGCTGTGCAAACTTTGTAAGTGCAGTAGTCCCGTATCATCAACTAGTTTATAGACCTTTTTAAATTTTATGTCATCAGAGTTCCTGAATGGAGGCACATCGAGGTAAACTGAAATAGACCATAATGACTAACTGACATGGGATAAAAATGCTAATAGTTAAAAAAAAAAGAAAAAAAAGAAAACCAATTAGAATTTCCAAGGTACAAATGTGAGTTAGTTTGCCTTTTTCTTACAAAGGATGGAATTAAAACATTATTTCCCTTCTCATAGGCCAATATCAAAGGGGATATATTATAACATTATACAAAATTAAAGTATGCTAATCTTGAAATTCCCTTATGCAAAGTTTTGACCACTTATTTTGCATTCCTAAATATTTTCTCTAGTGTCCGTGCCATTTTTGTTGGTTGGTGTGGTTGTCTTTGCTGTGAGTGCCAGTATTGGGGACCCCCTTGACGAATGTCTTCTGGACACAGACTACGATGAGCTCCTGAGTTTAGTAGAAAATGGACTACAAATCTCACGGACCCCTCAACATGTGGCTATCATTGGAGGGGGCATGGCTGGTCTCACCGCTGCCATGTTTTTAGAACAAGCTGGTCATAAGGTACAGTACTATACTAGATTCACTTGCCTCTATATCAGTTATGTGATGTTTTTGTAACAAATGTGGAGGCTACAAATACATGCTGAACCTGGTCATTTATCATTTATTTCAGTGCCAATAAACTGACAGTTAAATAAATAGAGTTGATTAAAGGTGTATTGTGTAATTTTTCTGGTGGAGCGTCCGTCAAATGCTATTCTCTATGGAGATGTTATTGCTTTGTCTGGAATGTTTCACAGTATAGCATTAAATCATCTTCATGGAGCTCAAACCAGACCAAGTTACAAGTCAGATATGTGGAGAGGCAACCCCGCTCACAGTCAGAATGCTTGTTTTTATTTTATATAGAATTTCATAAATGTAAGGTAGAGCTATGTAATGTCATACTGTGGAACATTCTAAGCAGAGCAATGACATATTCATTGAAACAAGCAGGTGATGGACCCTCCACCAGAAAAGTTACACAATGTACCCTCAAGGCTTGTTTAAAATTCATACACTCTTCTTCTCTGGCTGGAACTACTTTTTTTTCTGTCTTCTTCTACTATGCTTGAAATGTTCCCAGATTGAGAAAAGGATTAGTCATTCATTTTTGCATATATTTTTGGTAGAAAGGGTCTCAGAGGTAAAATATTTGGACCACTCCTGGATGAATGGGGAATTACACAGACAACATGTATTTTTGTCAAATCTGCCCTTGTTTACACAGGATGTAACTTGTATTGTGACTGTGAGGTTTTCAATGTATACTCCTCTAAGGTCACAGTTATCGAGGCTAGCAACAGAATCGGAGGTCGAGTGGAGACGTTCAGAAACCTACAGGAGGGCTGGTACGCAGAAGTGGGCGCCATGAGAATCCCCAGCTTTCACAAGTAAGAAACTGGAAAGGAAATAAATATACTGATCTAGTAGTATAGAGCATGCCATCATGTCTCATAATAATCCTATTATATATCTCCTTCACAGAATTCTTCTAGCCTTTTTGTCAAAGTTCAAAATTCCGTTGAGCCCTTTTGTCCAAGATGACAGCAACACCTATTATCTGATCAATGGCATACTTCACAAAACAAATGCTGTAAAGAATGACCCCAGTATTCTTAACTACACACTGGGGGAGAGCGAGAGAGGGAGGTCTGCAGCTCAGCTCTTTGAACAGGCCCTCTGGAAGGTCAGTGCACATTTACACCTTAAATCTATGACAATAAGAGGTCAATAGCAAATTATTGACCGGTCTGGATAGTACACCTACAAATTAAAATTAAATATCAATATTGATACTACATATCAGCATCAATACAGAAAAAAATTCTGGATTGTATCAGTTCCATGATATTAGTACAGCCCAAATGCTCATCTTCAATTAGTTTTAGTAAGACCATAACAGGCTGGTGTACTTTACATGTATATTTTATTCATACAAAGCTCTTCTTTAGTTAATTGCAAGATAAATGATGCAATTCAATAATAATTCTGTAATAATAAGTAACCTGTGTTATGAAAGAAAAACACAGGTTATGGTTATCGGGTACTGACATATCTTGTAACGATATTGGTATTGGTACTGAAAAAGCTTGATCAGTGCAACCCCAATTCAAATACAAACTGATTGTTCATAGGTAAGAGATGATCTGAAGGCAATGGGCTGCTCTGCCACGATAAATAAATATGACCCCTACACAGTGAAGGTAAGTATATCGTTCAGACACGAGGGAAAAAACTACATCCAAAAAAAAAGTCCTTTTTCTTACTAAAAGCCAACAGAGGAAAGTGCAATACCTAGGCTGATTGATGCTTACATGTTTCCTAACAGGAGTACCTGGCAAAGGAGGGGAACCTGAGCCGAGGAGCAGTGAGGATGATCGGGGATATCCTGAATGAAAACAGCCTCTTCTACACGTCTTTAGTGGAGACACTCTACGTACAGTCAGACATTGGGGATAATATACAGTAAGTAATCCTATTTGACAAAATGAGATTAAATTAGTCAAGTATACTACAAACAGTGGACTTCAAATATAATTATCAGTCAAGCCATAAACAATTGGTCTACACATTGAACATTGTTACTACAATTAATATCCTATTACATATTAATAATTATCGACAATAGATAACAAGGTTGCAATGCAACAGTTTAAAAGAAAAAAAAATAAGAACTTTCTGACACTAGTATATTACCACTTATTTTTATTTTTCAGATATTTTGAAATTCAGGGTGGCTTTGACATTCTTCCTCTGGCCTTTTCCAATATTCTTAATTCTAACATCCTCCTCAACTCCAAGGTGAAAAGGATCCAACAGACAGGCAGCAGTGTCAGAGTAACATATGAGGACTGGCACAGGCAGGGCTCCATCACCAACCTCACAGTGGACTATGCTCTAGTCACAGCCACAGCTAAAGCTACTCTCTTCATCGACTTTCAGCCTCCACTTTCAAGAGACAAAATGGAGGCTTTAAGATCAGTCCATTACATCAGCGCAACCAAAGTCATTCTCAGCTTTAGCGATCGCTTTTGGGAGCATGAGGGCATCAAAGGGGGTAAGAGTATCACCGACCGGATATCGAGGTTTATTTACTACCCCAGCCACACTTTCCCTGATACGACTGCAGGGGCACTACTAGCATCCTACACCTGCTCTGACGACTCCACTCTGTTCCAAGGCATGAATGATGACCAACTCATGGCTGAGGTGCTGGAGGACCTTGTCAAGATACATGGGGAGTACATCAGACCTCTATGGACAGGGGGGTTGGTGAAAAAGTGGGGGCTAGACCCATACAGCCTTGGTGCATTTGCCCTCTTCACACCCTACCAGCAGGGTGAGTATGCTAAGGAATTGTTCCAGAGTGAAGGAAGAGTGCACTTTGCTGGGGAGCACACATCAATGCCTCATGGTTGGATTGAAACAGCAATGAAGTCTGCCCTAAGAGCAGCAAAAAACATTAACAGCCAAACGCTTTAGTTTGGTGGGCAGACTCATGATGTCTTGAAAAGCCTATTCAAGTACAGGTAAAAGAGGATGGAGGTGAATTCAGGAAAAGGCCAGTTTCTTTGTTAAAATGCAGCGTTTCTCAAAGTGTAGTACATGGTCTGCCTCTGTTGACACTATACCCTTCATATATACAGTCTATGGGCGGTACACAGGGCTCTCTGCAGTTTGAGTATAGGCTTTGTTTTATTTAGAGACAAATCTATTTTTGTTTTGTCCTCCCTTGGGCTCATCATTATATAGCACAATCTTATCTATGATTTAGTCTATTTTTAGAAATGATTTAATCCTAATTTAGGTCTCATATAGGCTGGGTTTAGATCTGCACAGCAAATTCAAAAGGCCTTAAATTCACAGTGTTGGTGTTGTTATGAGCAAAGTGGAGAAAATTCAGATATGTTTCAAGATAGTAAAGAGTTATTCCAACTATGACAGTGCTGTAGAGTAAAATAAGTAGTTGTCAATTCACAGTTTCAACGTCAAACACGTAGAAAATGTCTATTTTGAATATTACACTACATCAGTGTTGGGCTTTTGTCTCGTTTCAAATGAAAGAGCTACAGTACGACAGGAAGCCACATTTCACAGTCCGAAGCTAAACTAACAGCCAACAGCGCAAAGCTAACAGTTAATAGCGTTTGTTTTTCAGCAGAACTGAACTCAACGAGCCTCAGGTCCAAACACCTAACCTCTCACATACCCCGGGTCAGATTACTTTACCTTTTTAGGACACACTGCAGTTAATTTAATTAATAAAAATACTAATTATATTCGGTCTAATGCTACTAGTAAGCTAACTAACTTAGCTGTGACAGTCAATGTTGCTGTCACTGATGTACATGAAAATTGGGTAAAATAGCCACAACATGTATTAAATTAAGAAAGAAACTACTCCTCAAGTAGAAACTACTCCTCAAGTAACTGAAGTTAAAAGTAACTGGACAAAACATGTGATTTGCCATTTAACGTTAATGCAATTGCGAGGATGAATCATGACATAGTACTCGTGTCTGGTATTCTGACAGTGGGAAGAAAGTACAATATCTGTAAATAGTATTAGGTCATAATACATCACGTCATTGCAATGCTAGTGACAGGCCTGCCTTACACTTAGTGTATGTAACACGATGATTTTGAACATTTATGAGCTATTTCAAATGATAAATACAAAAATGTTGGAGGTAAAATGTCTCCTACGTTTATTTAATGGCTAGCACTCATGCCTCACAGCAAGAAGGTTCTGGGTTTGATCCCTGGGTCGCCTGGGCCTTTTGCATGTTTCTCCCCATGTCTGGATCGGTTTCCCCCATCAACCCAAAACAAGCTACATAGGTTTCCAAGAACAGTTGATAGTCAAGGTCAGTTAAATACAATCAATCAGTGAATCTGCCCAGGGACTACAGATAGAAATTAGCACTGGTGCTCCAACCTGGTACAATGCATCTCTCCTGTTGAGGTTAATGCAAAAATGCGCTGCCCCTGTCTCAAATCTAAATGAATAAATAAAAAATAAATTGTGTTGATTGTATGAAATACATTGTTTTAATACAAGTCGAAATGGAATTTTGTGGTGGTTTTCATTATTTTACATTTGTAAAAGGGATTATGAATTAGAGTGACCACAGCAGTAAGAGTGATTTAGAGTTATTAGTTTTTCAGTATACACAAAAAAAATCAAATCTTAATCAGTGTCAAATTCAACATGAGGAGTGTGGTTACATCACTTTACCAGTGTTGAGCCTTCTACACTTTGGAAAGCGTAGTTTTAACTCATTTTATTATGGACCCCATATGACATGGTAAAAGTATTAAAATTAACAATATATGAGTTGAATTAACACTCGTGAATTTGCTGTGTGGTGTTACTCAGAAAGCCAAATATGAATTTAGGTGGTACTTGGTATGAAACGTTTGAGAATCATTATTAATGTTTTTTTTGCTCTTTGTGAATTTTTTGCACTTTTACGTAATATTGATTATTTATTCTTGGCCCCAAAATAAACAACAAAATGTGTGCTCTATTAAATTAAAAGGCAACAGAACAATCCTGTATTTAACCGCCATTAAGCCACATTTTCTGTAGAGGGAAACAGTTTTAATGATGCATTGTACGGGATGTATACAGTATTTAGCACCACAAATATACTGAATAGGTGAAGATATGCATTCTGATCTATCACTGGGATTTCTTTGACAGGCACAGGCTGGCACAAGGGGTTGTGTACACCAAAATTAAAGCATGTTTCTCACAAACACACAGTATGATCTTCTTCTTTATTTTACATATAGGTTATGAAACAAACTGTCCAATAACTCCTATTAGAGCAGATTTAGTCCATTGTTAATGTGCTCCTTTCTGGACCATTTGTGAGAAGCGGTTGGTGATGGTCAAAGTGGTGTCGATGAATCGCTCCACACAGCTCACTAAGCACGTCTCCGTCCTGTAGTCTAACTTTGAGCCTGGAGTGTCTACACACTTGTCCCAGCAGACGTCTGTCAAGCTGTGCACCTAAAACAGAAGTCAATACAGTTAGTGCCATGTTAATAAGAGTGCTCTATAATATGCAAGTATTTTATTTTAAAGTTTCTAATTTAAGAATTGGCACAAAAGAAATTAAGCAACTATAAAACAATTTTATTGGTCAAAGTCGTATATGTCCTCAAATTTAAGGAGAATTCAAATTATTTAGTTTGTTCCTTTGCAAATCTGACAACTTATCTAAGCAACTATATAGTGATAGGTCTATAATGAAAATATTAAATAGACCGTTTTTGAGGTGCTTATTTTATTGCTATGTGCTAAACGAAACAATAAAAACATTAACCATTATAGTGACATAAGTGCGTGCATGCAGTTAACAGCAGAACTACATCCATAGAGGCATGTGGTGGCTAAGCTATCATTCTTAATCATACAAACCTGTGCCTGAAACTGTGCTTTCTGTTGCTCAATGGCAATCATGCGCTGCAGCTCTGTCGCCTCTGCCTTTTCCGACGGGCTCAGGTTATCAAAATTGTCCATGTTGATGTTACAAAAAGGTTTATAAAACGTTACCGGCTAAAATCTAATGACCTTCGGCTTCAGAGCAGATGAATGCGGCAATATCGAAACACTCCTGATACGTAATCAATTGTAAAGCTCCAAATGCACTGTGCAAGCCGACAGATATTTGCTCCAATTATTTGTAGATCAACGGAAAGGCCACGTACAGGATATGACGTTTACACCAAGCTTTGCCTTTATATCAAGAGAGTTATTTCCCTTTTATTTTTGTTAATCTGATTAGGCATTTAAGAAACTGGAAAAAGACAGGACAAACATTCAATAATATAATATAGAATACTGCGCACTAGGAACAAAATTTTGTAAACATCTCAAAATACAAGGACACATTTTTCTCGTATTATTTGTCTCGGTAATTAGTTATCTTGCGCCAGACTGTTTATCTTTGGCCCGCTTTGGCTCCGAAATTACATCCGGGGAAGACTGGTGACCTTGTTGGGTTGTTCATCATGGCGTCTATCGTCAGGTTGAGTTCTGTATGTCGCAGAGGAGTTAAACGTGAGTTCTATCCCATATTTATCGTGCTTTTTGGTGTTATACCTAGGAGTAGCTGTGTTTATTTGTAATTTAAAATCATCAGTGTTTGCTAGAAGTCCCAATGTCAGCTAAAAAATCACGAGGAGCAGAGTGGGGTGGCATCTGACTGTCTCAAGTTCACCGCCCTTGTATGCGATCCAGTCATAACTAAATATCTGTTTACGACTCGTTTAATAGAAGCTCTACGTACTTTGCCCGTTACTGACAGATTATTATTATACCGTTTCTTTAATGATCGTAAATGACACGATGAGCTACACAATCTTAATCTTTTCACATAACACAGATTTATCCTCATAGATGTTTAAATATGTTGGCAAAGGTAGTCTTTTTTATTCGTGGAGCTCTCAAAGTCAGTGAGCCAAGTGATAATTATGATAAATGTAAAGTTCATTTAAGGTAGTGCTCTATGTCGCCCTCCTCTGTTTAGTGTGAGTTTGACAGCCTTTCAAGGACGACATCACTTACCAAATTGGTTTTTATTATTTTAATTAAATGAATGTGTGCAGGGACTTTTTGACCAACTATTATGCCTGTATAAGTTGCGCCTTGTAATATGTTTAAAATCACACCTTTGAAATTATGTTTTAGTTTAGATTAGTAACTTGGCTCCTACTATAATTTTAGTTGTAAACACTTAATTTTGATTCAGTTCTGCTCAGTGCTGACACTCATTGTTTCTCTAATGGTTGATTTTTGGACTTATTTTATTCAGCTCTGTTCTACCAAACCACATTGCTGGCCAGGCCTTTGGTTGTGCCACATAAATACCAGGAGCAGCCATACCAGCTCACAGCTAAAATCCATGCATCCCAGGCTCTATACGGTGAGTGGCACATGGGCAAAAACCACTGTTCCATGATTTAACTGTGCAAATACTGCAGCTGTGAACCAGAGAATAATCACTTTGCCTGTTAATAATAATAATAATAATAATAGTATAAGCATTACATATTTAAAGGGCTCACATTACACTGCTTTCTATCTATGTTATTGTTATAATGTTCCCTAATCACAAACATACCTGGAGTTGTGTTTTGTTTCATTCACACATGTTTAACACACACATTTAGCATATTTAGGCTGCGTTCTTATCTCAAACAGGAAACACTTCTACTTTCTGATGTCATGCTGTAATACATGAAGTGCTCTGCTATGTTTTTAAACTCCATACACCTTCATTAGAATAATGTGAATCATTTCAGTAAAGAGATTTCCAGTCTCTACTAAACAAAAGGTAAAAGGTAGCGGTTAACTTAAAAACTACCATTTAATGACATCACAAGGTAGAACAGCGCATTCTGAGTTTAGAGGTGTAGACAGATTAGGATTACTTAAGGATTACTCAGGCATGTGTGAATAAAACAAAACCCAACAACAGGTATGTTTTTGAGGAAGTAACAACATTATAACATGTCTTCAAGCTCACAAGAGTAAATTTTACATAATATAGGACAATTTAAACTATCCTCTTTATTGTGAAGCATGAAGTGAAGCCCTTGCTTCTCGTCCACAGCGGGCTCTGGCTCTAAAGCTGCCTCCATGCACTGGACAGCGGAGCGTGTCCTGAGCATTATGCTACTGGCCATGGGCCCTGTGGCTTACTTTCACCCTGGTCCAGTCATGGACTACTCCCTGGCTGCAGCCCTCACTCTGCATGGTCACTGGTAAGATCTCCAACAAACAGTAACTATAGGTCAATGTAATTCCCTTTCCTCCAAGTAGTATCTATATTTATTGCTTGCAAATAGAAGCTTAGTAATGTGTTTGAACTTCTCAGTGCGGCCATGAAACCTGAGACTGGACTCTGACCTCTTCCCAGCCGAAGTGGACAGCAGTAACCTGTATTTAGCTTCTGTTCCCCATTTAGCTTTATCTCTCTTGTGAAACAATTGTGCCTATTGTCTTGTCTACACTGTTTACACCTTTTTGTCAGTGCAGCAGTTATGAAACTCTGAATAAACCCAGAGAAAAGGGAACTTTGTTAGACTTTGCATTTTCTGACTTCAGTCATGTAATAAATCGGCAACTGCTACAGTAAAATACAACAGTAATAGTAGTATAGTTGTATTGTACTTAACACTGATGATACAATTATTCCTGCCCCGTAGCTGAATGTGTACATGTTTATATGAGATTTTGTTTGTATCACACACTACACTCATCTCACTACAGAAATTTGGCCTGTCTGATGACACTTAACATAGGGAAAAGGCCTCTTCCTCTTTCATTTTCATCAGAGGAGATTGTGGTCTTAAGACCACAGAAATCAGTCTGACTGCACTTTGTGTCTCAGGTGTGCTACAAGCGACTTAAGTCATAAGTATAGCGTTTAGAGAATCTCTTAGGTTAGCATGTGGCTATGATTATTTGAATACTGTGTTTAATACTGTATTTGGTACAAAGGAATATAAAGCATCCCCTCGGTGAAAACTGTACATATTGCTTTTCTTTACAGGGGCATTGGACAGGTGTTGACAGACTACGTTCACGGAGAAGCAAAGATCAAGATGGCCAATGCAGGACTCTTCCTTCTCTCCACTGTCACCTTTGCAGGTCTCTGCTACTTCAACTACCATGACGTAGGCATTTGTAAAGCTGTGGCACTGCTATGGAGCAAATAAATAAGACTGTGGACGGGCAGCTGTGGGAGGGCAGCGCTCATCTCCTGGCTCATTGTAAAAATTGAAGGGGTTCTATGTAAATTGTTATAAATATATATTATTTTGAAAACATGACAGTGATTCAGAGGTGTAATAATTGTTATATATCACAGTTATTGCTGTACATTAATGTTGACAGTTTGTCTGCATATAAATGACTTACAGTAATGGCTGGTTGGCAAATTACCTTCATTCCTACATGTGGCAGAGCAGCTATCTAACAGTCCGCTGGCTTCCACTTTGGATTGTGATCATCCATGTGTTTGATTTACATGCTCATTTAATTCAGCAGAAAAGTCCGCTTAATACTGCCGTTGCATTATCAGAAATGTTTTTTTCCCCATAAATCTCATAATTTCCTTCAGGTCTTGCATAGATGATTTATTGACTTTGTCCATGATCACCTTTTTGTGTTGGTAACCGTATTTTAGTACTTGCCATTATACCTTTTAGCTTAGATGCACAATATGCTTCTCTGTTTAAGCATTATGGAAAGTTATTTATAATTGCATTTTTTTTTTCCGAATGTGATGGGGTAGTGTAAACCTACCTTTGGGTTCTCACCATGGCACAAATATACAGTATAATTTGGTTTCAAAAATGAATTGCCTTATTGGGCTTTAAGTGTTTTAGCATTAAGAATATTTGAGAAGAGATTTGACTCTATTTCTCCATTACACTTGACCCTGTACTCTCCATTACACTGAATGAAATGTCCTAAGTTCCTGTAGATAAGTGGAAGATTATACTGTTGTCTGTTTAAGAGTTTTGAACTACTGTCAATGCAAAACATCGAACTGTGGTGGAATACACAATAATACTGAACTACATAAATGTTAAACCCAACCTATCAAAAATTCAGGCTACATGAAATTGAAAGAATTGTGGAATTTCAATACTGCAGTACTTACTAAAAAAAAGTAAAACATTTAATCAGTCAAATTAATCTCTAGCGCTTGTATTGTATTCCACTATATTCAAATATATATAGCCTATAACATAATGTCCTGAACATAAACATTTTTTTACTGGATGCTTTCCTTTGTTTGTCACCTGAAAGGTTGTTAAAAGCTTAATGGTGTTTTGATTGAACCATGAGTTCTTTCTTTATTCTTAATACAGTCAATATTTTTTCACTGTAAAACCACAAAAAGATGTTTGATTGCAAGCTTATAGTTTCAAATTGGTCCACATGGTATAAATTTGCATAAATTAACACAGTTAAGATCATTATATTAAAGATTTGTGCAAAAACATTTACAGAAATTGTTTCTAATGAGTAAAGCACTTCTTTCCACTGCTTAAATATATTGGTGTTTCTTTTCATCCTCTGTGTCCTATTTACCCCACTGTCTGTTAAGTGTCATTTGTTCAAACTAGATGCCATCCACAACATCCATGCTTATAGGAATAAAAACACTTTTGACCGTAGTTTTTGTCTATATATTGTAAAAATTACGACCGTAACAAGTGCAGGATTACAGAATACAAATCTTATGCGTCCATTCATAAAATGTTAATTTCTTTTAAAAAAACAAGCATTTAGTCGACACATTATGTATTCAGAGATAAGTTAAAGGTGAAATATGAATTATGATTTATGATGAAAACAATGATACTGAATAAGGTTCTAAAAGTCTGTAAGAACTATAGGCAGGTTATAATGTCCTCAAGCTCAAATGCTCTATTAGTCTAAGTGCCTGTGACAAGTTAGACTACTAATTTTACTAAAACACAGTTAAGATCATTATATTAAAGATTTGTGCAAAAACATTTACAAAAATTGTTTGTAATGAGTAAAATGTGTAAAAAGTAAATATGTTTGAAAACTTTACTCCCTGTATTTTTAAAAATTTTTAACTTTTCTTCACAACGTGCTTCTTGATTTGTGTAAAGCTATATATTTACACTAGTTATAATCCCACCAAATTAAGTCAAAATCATAATCAAATGAAATCAGACAAATATGACATACACTCTTTATGGTATTTTAGATTTGATGCTTTAATGTTATTTCATGATAGTGACTATATTAGATTGGTCGTCATCGTCAGGGTCATTATAGGGGCGTAAAATCAGCTTATTTGAATCAGTGTCGTCGAACCCCAGGGCCATGTCTGGGTACAAGGAGGACCTGAATTTGTACTTGTTTGGTTGCTGATCGAGAACCAGGTAGAACAGCGCTTTATGTTGGCTGTCCTCAATACGCCTCTGAAGCTCCTGCATAAAGAAACAGAGTAAGGTTTCAGCATTACATATTTAGCCGTAGAGTGGTGGTTTAAATGAGACCCACCATTACTTCCTCCGCAGTGACTTCATCTTCATTTTTGCACACTGCCACATACTTTCTGTCATCTTTGAGGGCATACAGCATCACAGCCCGACCACTCCTTGACTGCTGGTTTAAGTCTCTATAAATGCTGATATACAATCTGTAATCTAAAAAGAAAAGAAAACATATATAGTGAATTATGTTATCTATTTAAAAAAGATTTCAAATGATCTCTGCTTACCAGAGCAACTTTGCTGTTGAATATTGAGGTCTTTCAGATCAAACTGATTTTCCTCATTTAAAATTAAGAATTTGCTGTCAAGGCATCGAATCAGATTTTGTGATGTCTTTGAGTATTCAAACATGTCAGTATCTTTAAAAACAAAGGCGACAAGAAGACATAGATGGATCACTGTTTGAATCAGGTCTTGAACTCATGCAAACTAATACAGTATTGGCAGACTTACCCACTTCATCTTCAGCTTTATCTTTGTTAAAATATGAAAAAGAACAAATGTCAAATTAACATGGTAATCTGTAATAAATACAATTATTTATCATAGTAAAAATATTGCCTACCACAAAAAAAGAAATGATTCTTATGTATTCCGGCAAAAGCCAAAGGGATGCAGTGTCCAGTCATTACAAGCTGCGCAGAAACAAATAAACACTAATTGAATACAGTGTAGAAATTAAGATAAAGCTACAGTTTACATGTGGGAAGAGTGTGCACTTGATGCAGAAAATGCTGAGGCATTTTTTTAGCCCACGCAAAATTCCAGAGTGCCACTGCCTGTCTGATAGCAGTTTACACTTTATTTATCCATTCCCACTAGATTTGTATCCTACCGATAACCTTACCTTACCAAGCCTTACCTTTTTGTGATAAAGAAAGGATTAAGAAGTTATGGGATTTGGCCACACATTCAAAGAAAATTTATATTTCACTATTACTATATTAATATTACTACCGACTATTCGCCGCGCCGTGCTGGGAACAGTAATGTTATGGATGAACTGGTAGCGATAAGCGATAAGGCGCCTATGTTTTCAATAACTCAGTGGTCTAGCCACGGGTGTGCCAGGGTGTGTTGGTGCCGATCAAATATTAACTGGCACAATTAAAAATGAAAGCCGCTCGAGGCGATGGTGGCCCTCGCCCCGGCGCGCACGCCCTCCTACGCGACCGCCGGGGACTCGCGACCACCACGGCACATCACTCTCTTCCACACAGCTGCCCAGGCCGACAGCTCGTCCACCAGAAAAATTACACAGTGTACCTTTAAATGTTTTTGAGGAGTCAATGCGCCCCTGCTGGCCAACCGTAAAAAATGCCCAATATCCGTAATATACTTTTTTGGCCACAATCATGCATAGAATTGAATCCCTGAAATTGGTACAAATCCGATAATATTGATGTTTCATGTCTATGGTAGGGGGCGCTATAGTGTTCACTTTTCATATGTTTTATAGTGTATTATATTCAGGCTGAGATCACGCATTAGTGATTGAAATTTCAGCACGATCGGACTAAGTGTAATATTTTTTTTTATATTTTTTTGGGGAGTCTTTGCGCCCCTGCGGGCCAACAGTGAAAAATGCCCAATATCCGTAATATACTTTTTTGCTCACTGTCATACCTATAATTTAATCCCTGAATTTGGTACAAGTTTCATGTCTAGGATAGGGGGGGCTATAGAGTTCACTTTTATTAGATTTCATATTTCATTACATTCAGTCCCGGATCACACAATTGTGATTTGAATTTGAGTTCTCTAGGACAATGCCTGTGGCCGTGACAGGTCACCGAAGAAACAGGAAATGAAAGTGTTTTTCGCCGGCGTGCTACGGGCGAACCGTAAGAAATATTCCAAACACGTGGATGATTTGTGTGAAGCAATGTCTGTAGATGTCACATGTCAAATCTGAGCTCGTTTGGACCAAACAGCAGGGACTAGAGGCATTGTGCACACACGCATGTCAAAACGGCGGCGAATGTTTAATCCAATATGCCCGACTTCATGTTCGTCATACAGACATGCTCCAATTCATTTTTTGTCTTGTCTCATTGTTCTCTATCCCTATCCCGAATTTCGTTTCCCTGCGACAAACTTTGCCTGTCCCCACTCCCATAGGGGTCCAATTCTAGGGTCACTTCGGTCAATGTCACGGTGCCCATTTTATCACATTTTTTGCTGGGCCGATCGATCTGATACTCGGTTCGGGAATTTACGTCGATGTTCAGGGGGTCAAAAATGCGATCATTTGGTCGGAATAATAATAATAACAATAACAAATAATAATAACAACAACAACAACAATATAGCCGAGCACGATGTCAAGTGCGCCCTAAGTTTTGGGTGAACAATAACAATAGGCCCTACACCACCCATGGCGCTCGGGCCTAATTATAACAAAGAAACCGACGAAGAACAACTGGCTCGGGCCAAAAATGTGAATAATATATATAATATATCTAATATGGATGAGCTACAAAATGCTGTTTATTTGACGAAAATCGGCATTCACGGAGAAAGATGCTTAACAGTTAATGAATCAACCCTTCGCTCCTTCAGCCCATCACGAGTGTCGCTCAGATAATAAAAAACAGTCCTGTGTCTGCCCCTCCAATCCCAGCTCCGTGTCGCTGCACGCCTTTTCCCTGCCATCCCGTGACCCACAGCATTAAGAAAAGCGAACACGGACCAAAAGATTTTTGATCTAAACTAACTCTGATGTTTCCTGTGCTGTTACGTTCGTCAAAACAAGCAGCTCGATGCTGCAACTACTATCCCCAGTTTTATGAATGTAACGTATGAGTGATGAGTAATGTATGAATGTAACGTATTTGTGAATCAAAACGTTCTGTGTGTAGAGAGCATGTGATAGTCGCACTAGAGCAGTGGCTCTCAAACTGTGGTGAGGTTCCACTGGGATCCATTATAGCCTAGTTATGTCAGGTCTCACTGTAATTAAGCAACATGAGCAGTGATATATCCAAACAAATGACTGAATAGCAACAGGTCTGTGGAGTTAACATTTTATCAGAAAAGGCTAAACTGTATATATTCATGTTGCTGCATCATAGAGAAAAAGTGTCTTTCAATATTGTCTTTAATGTTCTGCTTCAAACTTTGGCAACACAATGCTTACAAATAATCTTCGTATATGAAATTACTAAGTAAATTAGTTTGACACCCCTGCCTGCTTAAATTTTTGGGCGCACCCAATTTTTCAGAGGCACAAGGCTACGCCATTGCAATAACTGCGTCATATTCTGAGACTTTGGTTGTTTAGCTACTTAAGCCTATACGCCAATTAAACGCCAAACAGCCTACCTTTTCTTCTGGAGTGTGCGATCAAAGCGACACTTGGTGCGTCTGTGAACACGCGGGAGACAACAGCGCGCGATGACGTTTGAACACAGACACTCCCGGATTTCCGCACCATAGACCGTCCAGGAAATTACAGAAGAAAAAAAAAAAAACAAGACCGCAGGAAATGCAAACTGAGAAGTATCCGAATGAAACTTTTAGAAAGAAAATAAGACCGTAGCACTTTAGGTCACTATTTTGTAGCCTACAGATCTTGATAAATTAAACTTAACCCTTAACGTCGTTTTAAACCATAATCGGTTTATTCTGAGTTCTGGAAAATCAAAGCAGGCAATAAAGTGATGTTTGTGGGTGTAGAGAAGCAAGTATCTGAGTCAGCAATTGTTATGACATGGCTGGAAATATATTCAATTACAAGTGCACCTTGAAAATGTACTCTAAAATGTATAACCCAAAACTTTACTCTATTACACTAACATGAGCATGTAATTAGTTACTTCACACCATAAAACCCAGTGTCAGGGGTCCCAAACCACTAGTCCAGGGCCCAGAACTGGGCTGTGGGCCTCACTCAGAAGAATGCATTATATTATATATCTTTAAAATACTTCTTAATAGTCTACCATCATGTTTATGTGTTTTATTCTGAAACTATAGTGCAAATTAACCTGGTAAATAGCAATGATTGTTTTCCAAAGATTTCACTTGAGTCAAACAAAACATGATTGAAAAACACAAATCTTTACACAATTCACCTTGGCTTGTCAAAGACAAATCAACAAACCAGGATGCTGCAGGTGGGAACCAACCAACCAAGTTTCTTGCAAAACTAGTTTGTAATGTCGCATGGCTCTGACTCATGCCAAGATATTTAGATTTAGCATTCTTCTTCTTATTATTTAAAAAAAAAAACATACATCCGAAATAAAGACTTCAATTGTGGCAACATTTGATAGATGTGATAGGTGTTATGGTTTCATCTAAACCACTAAAATGATGAACAATGAGGATCGATCTTCAGGGCCAAGATATCCTGAAAAAGAGATTCTTATTCTCAATAGAACAAATCACAGCATAAAGTAAAATAAAAAAATAAATGTATAACAAAATAAATAAAAAGCATTATTGCACCCACCCACAACAGTACAGTCATGTGAAATAGAATTGGCCTTTACCGTATAACTGAAGAGTTTACACATCAGCATAGTCATTTGCATGTGCTGAGTTCACATAAAAATCTGTCTATTGTGTAACATATAATCTCTATCTAACAATGGTAATTGCTATTTAGATAGGAGCATCCATAAAGCAAGTCACAGAGATGTCAAGCAGTCTTATATACTACCTATATACTGTGGTTGAACTTGCGGTGCACTCAGACCTATCGTTTACAAAAGCCATATAACCATAACAGCATCTGCAACAAATGTGGGTTAAAGCCGGTGAGCTGCAGAGATGTGCGAATGAGGTGTGACGGGACAGATGCATACATACATTTTTATCACTTAATAAACAGTGATTGCTTATCTTATAATTGTCTGAATGTACCGATTCAATTTGTCCTGTACACTGTATTGTCCCATAGAGAAATTTGAGGGGCAGCTCAGTGTTTTTACATATTGTGTTGACAGGGAAAATCAGAGTGGCTACAAGAAAACCCAGACACGAGGAGAAACATGCATACCGGGACTACCCTGAAAAAGTGATTCATAATCTCATAAACTCCCACACCAACCAGGTGTCAAATAATTCTACAAATATGGAACAAGATAATGGTTTCTTTAAATCAAAACATGATCATAAGTTGAATACATACAGTCCTACTTATTCCTTCTAACTTATTCTGTCATATATCCAGTATTTTTAATAATCAACATACGCAGTCAAGAGAGTTTACTTCTAACTCCTCATGGTCTCTGCAGAAATCTTTCATTAGAAATGACAGTTCAGTATTGTAATTGGTAATATTTGTTGTGGATGTTCCACTGTATTTTTGGGTGCTAAAATCATTGTGGAATAAAAGTGACGTAAGTTACACAACGTCACCTGTGTTTTAGTTATTATGATGACCTAGATTGTCTCGTGGTATGCTCAGGTGTGCTGTCAGGAGTTGACATTTTAATAGTGATTTGAAAAGTCCCAAAGTCTATGCTCTCTATTTTCACTGGAGATGGCAGAGCATCAGTTATTTATTTTTGTGTGAACTTCCCACCAGCCAACTGAAGTAATACAGCTGCTGACCACTTTTTTTTAATTATTTTATTTTATTTTATTTATTACAATGATTGTTACTAGCTGTCTGTCTCTTACTTTCAATTAAATTTCATATACAGTATTATACAGTGTACATTATGTCATTCAGTGAGTTCATCTGAAGGTGAGAATGACAGCCTCTGCCTCAACTGTTTAGCCTACAAATCTATGCGTATCTGCCACACTCAGAGGCTTTTGATAAGAGCTCTTGAGACTTCTGGGCAATAATGCAAACTGTAACTGTGTACTTCCCATACATTGCACATTTCAGCAGTGTCAACAGTGTTGTCTCAAGGTAAAAACAAGGTTTTGTCTGGCTATTTGTGCATACTCAGGGATATAAGACATAGTTCTTGTCTTTCATGAACAAGTCACTCATTAGTAACCATCAGAAATACATGTAAAAGCAGATCTCAGTATTTAAGACAGTCCTGAGACCAGTTTTTTTTACTTTTCCCTATGTTGAACTTAACTTTTTACAAACAATCCAACCTCTAAGTGTTTGCCATATGCTAAATTAGCCTACTTCAACTGATTAAAGCTTTATCTATCAACGTTTAGTATGTCAATATACATTCTACCTCTGCAGTCCAGTATGGTAACTCAAATATTCTGAAGATTTTGGGACTAAATCAATAACTAAATAATTTGCATCGCCAGTAATAATAATGTAATTGTTATAATTATCATAATTGTCTTTAAATTGGTAAACTGATAAACCAAACACACTTTATCAATTAAACACATTGCTATATTTTAAATGTTTCTGTGAGCGTACTGATGTACTTGTCTTCATTTGAGTGATTATCTCTGTGAATAAGTTACCGCTTGGTTTATCTTCTGTTCACAAAGTACTGTTTTTTGAGTAGTTACACAAGCATAAAATTCACTTATCACACTGTGTTGGGGCGGAGGAGTATAAAACCAGAGAGTTAGCCCGACAGAAGGTAAGAGGCCAAGGAAAGGCAGCATCTGCTAACTCTACAGAAAGACATTGACGCTACGCTGCCATGGAGACAACAGCACAGGACAAAAAGCATGCAGGTATACTAACTCTACTTGCACATGATTTGAAGTATATTTGGAGTACTAATTACAAAATACTTTCCTGTAGAGCATAAGAAGTCAAAGCACACAAAGGAGGTGGACCAGCACTTTACTGATGTGCACGGCCTGCCTTGTATTGAGAAGATTGTGCGTTCAGTCGAGGAGACCCCTGAGCCAATTGCAACCAATATAATCGGCACAATTCCAGAGTGGATCAATGGAAACTTCCTCAGAAATGGACCTGGAAAATTTGAGATTGGGAACCAAAAGTAAGTGTTTTAATGCAAGCAATCTCAACACAGCAGGTGAAGAAAATGTGTTTGTTACTTTTTTGTACCAGGTTTAATCATTGGTTTGATGGCATGGCTCTACTGCATCAGTTCAAAATTGCAAATGGTGAAGTTACATACAAAAGCAGATTCCTGTCAAGCAGCAGCTACCAGGCCAACAGTGAAACCAACCGCATTGCTGTGTCAGAGTTTGGCACTCTGACAATGCCAGACCCCTGCAAAAACTTCTTCCAACGCTTCTTGTCTCGATTTGAGCTTCCAAGTAAGTGTTACATTGAATTGCATTAATTGTAATTCAGTATTTCCCATTAATACAAGAGACTATGGTGACCCCATAGTCTAAAGTAGGCCACCATAGTGTAAAATAATCTGGACTACATATCGGCATAACAAAATTACTTTGTTGTTCATTGTTTTATCACAAACTTAAACACAAAATAGATGGCACTGCTCAAAATGCTTAAAAATTAAATATAGACAGTAAGTAACATTTATACCCTACAAATTGAATGAGAAATGAATCTATTCAAAAATAATAATTTGTGCCACCACAGGATTAACAAAATCTATGGGAAACACTGTGTTAATCTTAATACTTATCTATATTTTATGTTTGCAGAACCAACAGACAATGGTAATGTGAGCTTCGTGACATATAAAGGGGATTATTATGTAAGCACTGAAACTAACTACATGCACAAGGTCAACCCAGAGACATTAGAGACCATTCAAAAGGTAAAGCTGACTGTGCCTGACTGAAGTTAGGCCAATTCATACAGACATAAACTCATAAACATGAAAACAAATGCTACTGCTACTTTTTCCTTATAGGTGGACTGGAGTAAATTCATAGCTGTAAATGGAGCCACTGCACACCCTCACACAGAACCTGATGGCACCACTTACAACATGGGGAATTCCTACTCCCCCAAAGGTAGTCAAAAAGTTTCCAGGCTTATATTGTGTCATGTCTATTCTTCTGACTCATAAACCTGTTACATGATTGTACAGCTGTATATGTTGTGTCACTACTCTTACAGGATCACATTACAACATCATCCGCGTCCCTCCAACCAAGACAAGTGACGAGGAAACACTAGAGGGTGCCACAATCCTCTGCTCTATCCCTTCAAAGGACAAAACCAAACCCTCCTACTACCACAGCTTTGGTAAGTCAGCTACACAGTAAACAATCAAGAAAAATAATTAAGTCCTAACTCAATTCCCGTATTTTTAAAACAGCAATGTCTGAGAACTATGTGGTGTTCATTGAGCAGCCCATTAAGATGGACCTGATGAAGATTGTCACAGGAAAGCTGACAGGAAGCAGCATCAGTGACAGCATTTATTGGGACCCAAATCTCAAAACAATCTTCCACCTCATCAACAAACAGACAGGAAAAGTAATATTTTATTGTTTCATTTTAATACAGTGTCTCCTTTAATTTCAAGTAAAACAACAAACTAACACATGTGTTTTGACTTCCAGGTGAGCTCTGTCAAATACCTGACAAAGCCATTATCTACATTTCATCAAATCAACGCTTATGAAGAAAATGGCTTTTTAATCCTTGACATGTGTGTGTCTGACGATGGCAAAGCTATCAATAACTACAATGTGCAAAACCTTCGCAAAAGTGGAGAGGCTTTAGATGAGGTTTGGCAAATTCCAGAATGTTTATTTGATCATTTTTGGACGTTGTTGATTACATTTTTTCTTTCTTTAGGTATACAATACACTTTGCAGAGTCTTCCCGAGGCGATTTGTATTACCTCTCAATATAGACCATGACACTCCATATGACCAGAATTTGAACAACCTTCACAGCAGCACTGCAACTTGCATTAGGACTTCTAAACACAAGGTAGTTTCCTCTATATACTGTGTTGTATTAGCTCAGAGATGTTGGTGACACTGGTGATTCTTAGTAGGACAATTTCATAAGTAACATTTCTTAATCTACTAGTGGCTTTAAGGTTCTAAAATGGGATGACATTGTACTCCCAGCATTCTTAACATTGTATTTTGCCTGTTTGTTGACCTGATCACTAAACCTCAAAGCTCACTGTATTGCAACAAAAATCTGCATTTATACAATATTAATTTAGCTCCCCCCTCTCCATTACTGGCCTATAGCATGTTATGATGTCATGTGAATCGTGAATTGAGACATTAAAGAATATTATCACAATGATATATTATTTACTATTTTTGCCTTACAACAAGTAGGTCCCGATGTTGCACAGCAGAAATACCTTAATCACTAATACCAATTAATTCATGACCAATATCAATTTATTATCCAGCTTGTGTTAAGACTATGGGAAATAACTCTTTTTGACTATTTTCTGTACTTAGTGCAAGTGTTTCCTATTTTTTAATGTCTAAATGATCAGACATGTGTTTTGCAGGTGTTTTGTACTCATGAGGACTTGCACGGGGAGGATCTGCATCAGTACGGTGGCCTGGAGTTCCCTCAGATCAACTATGGCCAATATAACACCCATCCTTACCGCTACTTCTATGGCTGTGGCTTCAGGCACCTAGTGGGCGACACCCTGATTAAGATGGATCTGCAGGGGAAGCACATGAAGGTATAGGCTTAATTAACTTTGAAAGACCCAAAGAATGTCAGGTTTAAGGTGGTAGTGACTTACATTCTCTTGTAGGTGTGGGAGAAGCCTGGTCTCTACCCATCTGAACCCATCTTTGTTCCTTCTCCCAGTCCCACAGCAGAGGATGATGGGGTTGTTCTGTCTGTAGTGATCACTCCAAATGAGGTCAGTTGAAAAATTTGGAAGTTTGTTGGATTTAAAAGATTCATTCATTGCCCATGGATATTTTCAGAATTTAATATTTTGTAGTGTAAAAACTGACATATTTTGTTTGTTTTCTGTTAGGACAAGAGCACATTTCTTCTGGTCTTAGATGCTCAGACATTTAAAGAACTGGGTAGAGCTGAGGTGCCAGTCAACATTCCCTATGGTTTTCATGGGGCGTTTAACAACAAAGCATAAAGGTTTCATAAATTTAAAGATTTTCAGATCTATTAATTGATGTGCTGTTTTATGCATTGTATATTTCTTCTTCTTATTATTATTATTATTGTAATGTATTGCTGTAAATATGGTCTATATGTTGGCATTTCTTTCTTTTATTTTTTCTTTTATTGAAGACAGCACCAACCTTACAGACAGTGACTAAACTCTGAGGTAAATATCCGGTTCATTTGAAGTTCATCTGATATAGCAGTTAATAATTAATAGTTTGAACCAATTAGGCTAACAGGCTGACAAGAACGTAGATTGTACATAATAAAAGCATGTTTATGGATATATGAGTTTACTACTGAATCTGTGTTATCTATAAAATTATTGTTACTGTAAATTCATTACTTACCATATTTTATTAGATTAAATAATCTACTTTTAAATAACACATGCTTAACATGACAAACAAATATATATGTAGATGTTTACAACACACACAAAGAGAACTGACAACAGTGAAATTTAACCCAATAAAAGAAAATGAGAATTTGCTGCAGACTAATACTATCATCCCATGTCAACCCTTAATTACAAATGAGTTTATCAGAAATCAACGCCAGTGTCTGTCTCAAAAGCCTTTTCTTCTCCATAAGTTGAGCCTCCAGGTTTCTGGCTTCTGTCACAATGTCCTCCAGCTCCTGCATCATGGAAATGTCTGCAGCTGCCTTCTCACTATCACAAACAAAACACAGGAGTATTCTAATAGTAATCTACAATCTATCAGACACTGACAGCATGTTCACTTTTAGTAGAGAAATCAGTAGTGAATGCACATGTCCAGGAGGCGACGCTGCTGCAAATGAATTAAAAGAAACGTGGGCTATGTTTGCATGAACATCAAAATATCTGATTTCTGGGCGATTATTTCAATTACACGAAAACCATAAAATATGATGTGAGTTTTCAGAGGCACTATTTATGAGACTGCATGTAACAGCAGCCAATATCATGTCAGATAAGTATGGTGTTTGCTGGATTAAGGTCCAGTGGAGGCTTTAGGATGTGAAAAGTACTGGAGGATAAATATCTGTATATATTTAAAATGGATATTAAATGTACACAAAAACTATACATTTTGGATGGCTTAAAATTTTGACCTACCATAAAACCACAGCAAATTTAGTGAATAGATCACTGATCTCACAGCTTGCATCTAGAAAAAAGAGACTGTCTTATTTTAAACCAAACATTTGTGTGAAATAAACAACAAGAACAAACAAAAGAGCTGACTTCCATTGTAATGTAGAAAAGCTAAATAACACATGCACACAAGAACTTTAACTGATGCAAGTAGAATCTAAAAGTCATACCTTAATAGAAAAATATAGTTAGGGAATGTCTTGAGATGTTGAGTGAGGTGGTGCATAAATTGCTTCATACCATGTATAAATCTGTACTGACCTGCAGTTGCAGCTTCAAATAAATGTGTTGGTTCTGCTATTGATTTCTTGCAGAGTTTTTTTTTTAGTGGTGATTTTGCCCCTGCAGAAGGTGGAGGCTCCATCTAAAGCAATCAAAACAAAATACAATAGAAAACAAAAATACAAGTTACTTTCCTATTTTTTATTTTTTAACGTTAACTCTACATAAAACGCAAGAGGTGAAATGTGATTAGGTTGAGAATAAATGTAACGTTATTTGTGAAAAAGTAATTGGACTCAGCTGAGGTTAATATTAATGTAAGGCCAAGTTTGACTGCGCATGCTCCGCACCCCTGAACGCGGTGCCTATATAGTTTCCGCCCTGATTCGGACTGTTCGCTGCACAATAAACGAGTCACAGTGTCTGCTTTGTCTCCAAAAGAACACCTGTCTGTCTCATTCCTCCTACATACAGACACCGACATCAGTCACTCAAGTCTAGTTGTAGAACTAGCATTAACGTTATCAGTAGTTAACTAACACTGTATGGTGGGTCTTTACAACTAGCCAAGCTAGATATTTATCTAATTTAATGGAAATTATGTGTTGAACATGACATTGAATAAGACAGTGTAATGTGTTTTAAGTGGTCTATTAAAAAACAAAAACAAAACAAAAAAAGGTTTACTTGCATTTGTAGGCGTCGTTTCATCGGGCCCCTTACTGTTGAGTGCTTGTTGATTACTGGTTCCTGGTTTCTTGTTACCAGGTGCTGTAGTCGGTTTATCTGACATCTGGGCAACTCTTTTCTTGGCTCAAAATAACTGCAAAAACTATATAATAATTAACAATAAAGCATGACTATTTATTCTACAGGCCAAACAAATGGTTAGTTAGCTATGCTAAGATAACAGTTAACTAACTTAATTTGTTATGGACAACTTCATTTTGCTGTGAAAATAGCATTTAAATGGCAAAACATACGATTAACTTACAAATTACTTATGGCAAATTACTTACAATGTATTGCCCGTTTAAGTCTTAAATAACAAATGATAACATCACGCAAACATGATGATTTTTCATCAGCAGTTAATTTAGCAACCTCAAAACGCCACTAACAAGTAGTTAGCTTGTGGTGCCTTCAGATGCCCACGGGGGGGTGGTGGAAAACGCAGTGTGAGTATCTGATATCATTGATATCATCATAACAGCTGTGACATTGTATATATATATATATATATATATATATATATATATATATATATATATATATATATATATATATATATATATATATATATATATATATATATATATATGCACAACACAAATACCGTTGTACACCCTACATTTTTGTTTTAGTTTAAAATCTTGCACTTAAGCAGTTTTTCATTATATTTAAAAAGTCACATACAAATACAGAATAATAACCACTAAAATGTTTGTTATCCGTATTATTCCATACATTTTATTGCCAAAGAAAAAAACTGCGTCCGCCACTCCCATGACCAATGAACGGCAGTGAGGGCAGCCCTGCCATCGCGCCTGCCGCCTGTAGAAGGAGCTCTTCAGTGTTACCTCATCCTCACAGACCCACACAGCCAGAGCCAAACATACACAAACATGGCGATATCACAGGCGGAGAAGATGCAGTCCTGTCTTCGCATATGTTTATTAGTCCTGCCGGTTATTGGCTTAAATGCATCGACGCTTCATCTTCACTCTGAGCAGCGCTACATGCTACCACAGAACAGAGGAATTCACACCATAAACGCAGATGTGGATTTAGCGGACGGTGATGGAGGAGGCGCCGCGGCTCCAGCGCTGCGCCTGGCCGCTCGAGGTGTCACCAAAGGCGGCTCAGATTCGGGTGATTTACCGCAGCATCGAACTCGCAGGAGTATCGGAGACTCGGCCATGCCCAAGGTGTACGGCCAGGTATGCACTGCATCTCCGCAGGCTTTTCCCGCTTATTCGTAATACCTCAAGCTGACCTGCTCTTCTGATGGTGGGCTCTGGCAGAGGGAGGTAGTAGATGCCGTAATTACACAAGTCACTTTGTTGTTATCCAAGAGGCATGGTTTCATTACCCTTGCCACCCGGTGTAGACATGTATAAACTGCGCTGCAACAAAACTTCAAAGAAATTACATTACATACACACGGAATTACCTTTTTTTCCCCCCTGAAGGGCATCTGATAGGTAGCCAGGTGACAGCCAAATGGCCCTGTTTGTTGATGAACAGTCTAAAAGCCTACTGTAGTAGTACTACATTGTTAGTTTTGGATCTTTAATAAAGACCAGACCTCTATCAACAATATTTGGCTTATACAGAGAGGGGCAAAGAATGGGTCATTGGTGGCTGTGAATGAATAAAGCTAAGAAGTGTCAGCTTGACACTTAATGGAAATGAGCTTGACACCAGTGCTATGGGCGCCAGATAACATGCCTTTGTAATTATTAACCATGTTACGAAAATTCTAATTACTTTTACAGCATCCAACAGACAATACACACATTCCTAAAACATACAATGTTGCCCAGGTCTTGATAACTGGTTCTATATCCAGCAACCTTTCGATTTTTATGACTTAAAACCAGTATTTATCCCAACTAAAGCACTAGTGCATGGGCTAAATCAGGGAATTGTGACTCTCAGTAAGTAAAATTGAATAATGTTATGAACTGCTAAATTGCTCTAATAACACTTCTAAATCAAGGAAAAGAAATCTACCTTGAGGACTGTACATTGCTGAAGAGCATGTCATTATCACATTAGGACCATAACCTGAATGGCAGTCTGGGGATTCTTGTAGCCACATGCCACTGTCACCCCATTGGTCTATTAAAATTCCTGCAACTGCTGCAGATTGTAAATAAATGCCGATGGACATTTACCCTTAAGACAAAGGAGATGGGGGAAGTGTTCCAACTCCCCTTTCTCCTCACTTGGTGACACCACTGTCTAAACAAACGACACAAATGGTCTCTTGGGAGTCTAGACCCATGGGTCAGGTTTCGTAGACCCAAACTGTTATGCAGTGTTTAACTTGTCCAATGTTTGTTTGTTGTACATTTTACTTGTGTCATTTGAGGGTATCATGGTCTGAATAGAGTTATTAAAAAGCCCAAGCTCCTGCTGTAATTATAGATAACAAACATGTCTAAGAGGAGCACTGTTTGCATAGTTAATCAGGTGCATGTTTGAGGACTAACAGACCTTAGCTGCGATACTAGCTGTAAGCAAAGAAGTGAAGGTAAGAAGAGAGGTAAATACAAAATCGAGATATTTGCTTTCTGCTGTGTCATTGTGGTCCTGGAGATTCAAAACTGTGATCCAATGTAACTACCGGTAGGCCTGTCAATATAAATACTATATCAACTTATATATGAAACTTGGAACAATTTTTTGGGGTCAGTATTTATGGTGGCTACTTTTTTCTTTGCACTACCGGGATATTTGTGGTTTTTTTTTAACAATATGATAAAATTTGTTCAACCTTTTGGTTGAACAAATCTTAATATCTTAATCTTAATAATAATCTTAATCTTAATAATTACTTCTAGGATTACATTCAGATGATACTTGATCATGCAGATTGAGTGTTTCATTCTGCTATATATTTATTGTAGGTCATGATTTTTTTAACAGTATAAAATATGTTTGTTATAATTGTTTGTCTATATTTACTTCAGCAATGTAGTGCATTTCAAACTTTGTGTTAGGCCTAGTATTACACTTGCTTTTATATTCAGTAGTTTTCAATAGCTTGGGGTACATATTATTTACATTAGCATGCATATCCAGACCACACACTAGCTTGCAAGACTCACCTAGGTAGTATTCGGCCAAGGAGCAGACAGGAGAGTCAAAATATTTTTTAATTAACATTAGCATGTATTGTGCCCTCAGAGTTACATCAGTTCCACTTCAGCAAGAATGATGTCTGATGTCTGCTTTTAACTGCTCAGACAGTTTCACTTCCTCATTGTTTTAAATATATGGGAACAGATGTGGACTGTACACATGAGACTGGGTTGCACCACTGACAGCCTCTTAGTGTATTCTCTGCATCTCAGTTTTGGATTGAATTCTCCCTTAATACATATCAACTTGTTGTTACACTGCAAATAAGTAATTATAGTTTTTGAATATAGACAATAATGTAATTCACACCTAGATCTGATACAATAAGTATTTGTTCAATATGTGAAAGCTGGAACAATATATTTTGGGGCTCAGTATTTATCATGGGTACATTTTCTTAGTTTAGTTGTAATATAAGATAAGATTTGAGCTGTAGGGGGTTGAATAAGTATATGGCTAATAATTGTGGCTAATTATTTGTTGTAGCTCATACCTTTTAATGATACTGTATATTTAAAAAATGTTTACTTGGGTTATCTTGCTTTATTTTGATCTTAATCAGTGGCATAACATGGTTTCAATATTATTGTTTATTGCAATATTTCTCTGTAGCAATATATCACACTTTTCCCACACAATTTGTTATCGTGATTCGCGACAGGCCTATTCACAACCTTTATTAGGCTTTCTTCTGTCAAGCTGCTTTTAATAGCTTCACACACTTGCTGACTGAAACTCCCCCAGTGCTGTTTGCTGTTTGACATCTGGGTCCAGGGCATCTCTGATAACTTGATGACCGTCACGCTTTGTTCCTCTCAACTCCTGACCTTGTTCCCAGACATGCTGATGGATTTTGGCTCCATAAACGCAGACTCGATGGGGAGTTTATGGGCGATGATTTTCCCCTTTGCAATCAAGGTGACACAATGCTTTATTTGGCATTTCAGGCAAATCTAAGCTAGAGAGAGATCAGATCAGGTTTAAGCTACTGACCACTGAAATGTTATAGTTCATGAGATTTGTTAAGGAGCTAATAGGCATTGTCCTTGAATTTATAGTGTGTAGATTTTGACTAAAAATGTGAGGCTAGATAATTGTGTCAGAGGTTCTGTGTCTTATCGGGCATGTGCTTGGTCTGGTTTCGATTGGGTTGAGTTCAGGATTTCAGAACTATGGTCAATTATCATGTAGTTATTTGATTGACCCAAGCTGTATTTGCATAATGGTACAATTACATAGTCCTCTTAACACATAGCCTGATTGGTGGATTATGGAAAATATTGTACAAAAGTCTCTATATTCTGTTAAAGACTATGTAACTTTCCTGGTGCAGTGTCTGCCACATCCTTGTCTCCTTGGATATGTTATCGTTTTCCCTGGAATGTTCCGCAGTATGGCATTAAATATCTTTATCTCCACCAGTCCAAATTACAGGTCTTGTGCAGAGACTATCTCACAGTAAGAATGCATGTTTTGAAGGTGTTTTTCAGATATTAAAACTTGTGTAATTGAATAAATGTAAGACAGAGTTTTGTGTATGAAACATTTAATGAAAGCAATAACATCTCCGTGGAGGCAAGCAGGCTGCGGAAAAGTTAGGTATTTCTCTTTTGAGACCATAGTAAGATAAAAGGTTCAGTGACTTGCTAAAATAACTGCTTGTAGCAGAGTCCAGCATAAACAGTCTGGGAGGGAGTCTTCTTTGGCTGCCAGTCCTGCAGAGATGATGTCATTGTTTGATATGGGCCGCGATGCCCTCCAGCCCCACTGCCGCTGAATAATGGCACGCTCAGAGCCGACGAGAGAGGGAGGGGGGAGGCTGCCCCGGCATACTGTGGATCCTAGTACTACCAGACACAGCACAACAAACTCATGTCCACACAGATGTAGCTCTAATGGAAACTACATAACTGGAATAATCTAAGTTGCAGTGTTTTCTGTGCAACCTTTACCTATCACAGTGATGACAAATTCAACCACTATACAGTACAAATGAATTAAAACATACATAAAACAATAATTAGAAATCATTTACCAAATAACAAACAGAAGGAACTTAATCTAAAAGACAAACCTAAAGGTCTTATATTACACAAAATTGACTGTTGTAAGATTTAAGCAATGTTATGTTGTTACCCCCGTAAAATATACACAGACTTGTGTTTTGTTTCATTCACGCAAGTTTGAGCAACCCTCCTGTCTATATCTCCAAATCTCCAAATTCTCTATTCCACCTTGTGATGTCATGTAGTGGTAGTTTTCAGGTTAAAAACTGCCTTTTACCCTTTGTTTAGTAGAGCTTAACAATTCCAGGGCAGAATGTTTTGTGATTTTTAAATTATTTTAATAAAGGTGTATGGAGTTTAAAAACACTTCCTGAATTTCTGCTTGCAAAATAGAACAACCTGCATATTCCTTTGAATAAATGTTTGTTAAAGCAGTAATGTAGTAATATATTTAATTAATTAAGTTGAATGGTTGTAGAAGTTAGCAAACATGTTTATCTTTCCCATCAGAGTAAATCCTCTGGAGTTCAGGTCTGGCCTAAACATGCCTCAAGCCAGTGACTAATCTTAGTGGAGCTTGATTTCTCAATACCCTTTCATTTATATGCTTCATATTTGACATTGTATGAAATGTCTTATGTTCTGTACTTCTAGTGTCAATTTGTCATTGTGTGTTTGCAGGAGAATACATTTGTATGAAGTGTAGGTGGTGTGAGGTTTTGTTTGAGTACAGGAGAGTCATCCAGATTAGACTGAATCTTCTTAGTCATAAAACAAGGTCGGAGTTGATTTACTTGTAATTTAATTTTTTAAGAGACTCCAGGGTCCACATTACAAGTCTATACATTGAGTAACTAAAAAAAAGTAGAAAGACCATAGCTTCCCCAAGTGCTGTTAATTTCTTAGCCAATGCTACTGGAGCTTTAAAGTTGATAAAGGTGATAAAAATGGAATGCTGCTGAACTCTGTAATGCCATTGTTTACTGAAAACACAGTAAATGTTCTGTGCTTCTCTAGTCACTGAGACTTGGAAAAATATTATGTAGACAACAAAGCAACATAAA